GGCTGAAGGAGACAGGCCAGGCTGAAACGTGGCCGGCAAAGGCTGGTGCCGCTGGGAGAGACAGAGCGAGACGCCGCCGACCCTCCTGGGCCCTCCGGGAAGACAGAAGCAGCACCCCCGGTTCTTTGGTACAGAAGGGAGGAAGGGGCGGGGGCTGGCCTCAGAGTGGATGCCGGAAAACTGCGCCGGGGGGTTCTCACCAAACCTTTATTGTCGTGAAACGTTAGCAGTAATTTTCCAGGATGGTAACCCTAATCAGGAATTTGTTTTTCTGAATGTCTTCGATTTTCACGTCGCCCGTGACGATGCTGTCCCACGACGGCAGAGCCAGGGCCGTGCGCAGCCACTTGTTCTCCTGCAGCGCGAGTTCGGTGCCCGAGTACCACAGCTCCTGGGGGTAGAGCGGGCTCCTCAGCCTCTGCGCCGTGTCCCTGGGCTCTTAGCACCGGGGCCCACAGACAGGGAAGGGCTCTGCTGCCCAGAGGAGGACACCGACACACGCCCTAAACACACACGTCGTTTGTACGCTGACCGAAGTCGGATGTGCCGAGAAGGCGCTGCACCTGGTACTGGGCGTGGGTTTTGCTTTCGCAAAGGGAGGGAAACAGGGAGTATGCTCCAGGGGGTTGGATCGGGGGTTCCCCAGAGCCTGAGGGGGAAAGGGAACACACAGGCCTGAACTACAGGCATGTCCCCTTTCTGGTAAGAGCCCCGAAGGACCGTAATTAATGACCATTATGGCCTGCATGTGGGTCCCCCATACCCATGTGCTGGAACTTAACCCCCACGAGGATGATATTCAGAGTTACTGGATTCATTTAGGTTTCTTGCCCAATTCCTGTGGAACATCTAATAGGTAGATACATTTAAATTAATAGAAAATTTAAAGAAATAAAGTACAAGTTTGTGTTGTAGCAAGAAGAGGTGTTGGGAGGTCACGCGGGCCCCCGTGTGGATGGAAGTGGGGCCCTTTCAGGAGAGCTTCAGGGAGCAAGTTCCCCACGCCCCTGCCCTGTGAGGACACAGCTGCGGCATTGTGGGGACTGGCCCTGACCGGACTCTGGCCTCTGGTGCTGTCGGGCCTCGCAGCCTCCACAGCTGTGAGCGCCACTTCCCTGTCACTTAGAAAGCGCTCGGTCTGAGGGCCTGTGTCGGAGCGGCCCGAACAGGCTGAGGCAATGCCCGTCCACGCCTGGCGAGGCTGACCAGGCGGTGGGCTCCAGGGCCCCCCGGGCTGAGCGCCACACTCGGCCTGCTAGCTGGGGCACACCTTGGTCATGTTCAGCCAGGACTTTTCGAGGACGTTTCCCTGCAGCTCAGACAGCTTCAAGGCTGTGCTCAGGAAGAGGTTGCAGTTCTCCACTTCCCCCATGAGGACGCAGACGTAGGCCATCAGGTGGTACAGCCTCGGGTAGAAGACAGGGCACGTCATGTTCTGAGCCACCAGCCTCTCCAAGGTCTAAACAGGGCAACAGGATGCATGTCAGGGGCAGAAAGGGGGCCTGGGCTGCAGAGCCGCCGTCTCCACGGGTACTTGAGCACGTCACAAGGACACAAGCAATCGAGTGAGTTCGCGGTCCACCTGGGGCAGGAGCACGGGCTAGCGGGCCTGTCGGCGCTCTCGGCAACGCCTTTTCAAAAACACATTGCCGGGGCCAGCGGGGGGCGTAATGGTTAAGGTGCGGGATTCCCACGTGGCTGACCACAGTTTGAGTTCCAGACCTGGTGGCTTGAAAATTACACCGTGTGTGTGTGTGTGTGTGTGTGTGTGTGTGTGTGTGTGTGCGTGTGCCCAAAAATCCAAAGAAAAGAATGAAGAAGAGATTGCAGCATGGCCATTTCACCTGGGGAGTGATTTCTCACTTTCCCTCTTGCTGTCTGTCCATCTCTCTCCAGGGTGTGCACATGTCCTATGGCAAAAACCTTACACACACACACACACACACACACACACAAACTGTCTTCTGGTTATCAAAGCAAAACAAGTTCATTGTTGGAAAATTAGGAAGATCGTCCAGGTCTGCACATAAAGAACTCAGAAGTCTCCACTTGGCCCCAGCAATAAGCAAAGAGCAGCGCAGGCTGGAAAAGCAGCTGCTCCTCCTGAGTCCCTAAGAGGGTATGGACACAGGGCGAGCTGCTGCCCAGAGCTAGGGCGACGGTGAGTCCAGGGAGTCACGGAGCCCAGGGCAGCAACGCCTGCACCGCGACTGGTGGCTTGCCGGGGCTGCAGGGTGGACACGTCCGTCGGCTGAAACCGCCGGGGAAGGAGGTTCTCTGAAGAGCGCGGAGTAGGAAGACCAAGCGCCGCACCCTGCCTGGTGCTAACCGCAGCGTGGCAGGGCGGCATCTGCCAGACTGTAACTGCTCTGGCTCTGGAGTCTGTTGAAGTTCGCAGCTGCCCAAGGAAGGTGCTGATGCTGAACCTAAGTTCATTTCAGCTCCAGCCCGGCTCCCATCCCCACCTCCGCCCCACGGCGGACGGACACCGGTTCTCGGAGCCACCTGCACACAACTTGCAGGGACCCAGGCACACAGGACCCTGGACCTAAATAAAAGGGACCCGTGTTCTGATCAGAAATCGCTGTTTCTGGGACCAGCAGTTGGCGTAACGGCTGTGTCGCTGGACTCCCATGTGGTTGACCTTGGTTCGAGTCCCGAACCTGGTGGCTTAAACTCACACCAGGCGCATGTACGTGTGTGCCCAAGATCCCGAGAGGAGAATGGAGGAGAAGGGATTGTGGCATGGCCATCTCCCCGGGGGGTGATTTCTTGCTTTCTGTCTCTGTCTTTCTGGTGAGCACACGCACCTTATAGGGAAAAAGAAAGAAAGAAATCGCTGTTTCTGATCACACAGCAGGTACCCCATGCTGCGCGGCCTCTCCTCATGGAGACAAGTCCCTCTCCCTCCAGCTAAAGTGGCTTCCGGGGGACCGAAGGGACCAGCGTCTCTGACTCGTTTTCCTCTTCCCCCCGTGACGAGCAGACGTTAAAGATGAGAGACATTTGGGCCGGCAGGTGGGTAGTGGCTGG